TATATATATAATATACTGTATCAGAAGCTGATACTGTAACTCATGTTTCTCTTTTGTTAAATAACCTAAAACTAATAAAAACATAAATCTCCTGAGATTCTGTTCTGGCTTTTAGTTTTCATGTAACCACAGGATTTTCAGTGGTCCGCTCATTGAAACATTTTTGTATTTCAAACCGTAAACTGGAAAGAAGAAATTATTCAGAGCAGAGTGTTATACACTGTCTGGCCAAAAAAAAAAAAGGTTGCCACTAAAATAAAAAGGTCACACATTTGGATAAGTGTCCTAGACCTGACCAGCAGCAGCAATCCCCAGATCATAGCCCCGCCCCCACAGGCTTGTACAGTGGGCACTAGGCACGATGGGTGCACCCTCCAAGACAATGGGTCCCCAATATTCTTCCAGTTTTAATAATGCATTGGACAGTTCTTAATTTTAGTAGTTTCTGCAATCCCCTTAGATATTTTCTCTGCTTGATGCGTACCAGTGATTTGAGCCTTCTCAAACAGACTGACATCTTTTCCACGACTACAGGATGTGTCTTTCAACATGTTTAAGAAATGAGAAGCAACTCATTGCACCAGTTGGGTTAAATAACTTGTTGCCAGATGAAAGGTTAGAAATGTAGTAATGTAATGCCCATGTAGTAATAATCCAATAGGAGTCTCGTACCTGTTTGCTTAGTTAAATCCAGGTGGCAACCTTTTTTTTGTCCAGGCAGTGTATTTTGTTGAAGTCATTGAACCTTTAGGGATGAAAATATATACAAATATAACAAGTTTGCAGCTGAACTAAACTCATTTATTGAAACAGACTATTCTCTGCAGATTACATCTATAGTTACACACCTTCTACTCTTTTCATTATTTTTGTCTTGTTTTGTTTTTGTCTCTTCACAGCCATCAAGGAGAAATACAGTGACTGGACAGAGTTCCTCATTCAGGACTTGACGGGCTCCAGGACGGCACCGACTAACCTGCTGGAAGGGGTGAGCATGAAAACGCACTAAAAAACTCTCACAGTGGGATTGATATCTTTACATTTGACATAAATTTTTCTCCTGCAAAATCACAGTTCTGTGTGCCATGATAAAGGACAAAGAATTTTTAGTGAAGACAAGATTGGATTATAAAAGAATTACAGACATTTAAAGAGTCTGAAACTCTTAAAGGGATCCCCGATTAGTTGTTACATTAGACTTTATATGATAAACATATACTTTAACTGTAAAATAAAGACTGTAAAAATACTGTAGGATGTTCAGTTTTTATACATTTTAAACTAAAAGTTTAAAAATATATTACATGGACGGGGCCATTTTATTTACATGCAAAGCATTCTGGGAAATTGATGACATCTACTAGGTCATCAGCACAAGGCTGCTAGCGAGCTATTTCCACCCTGAAGGTTAATCTTGGACAATATCTGATGATCGACTCTTTTAAGTGAAACCAGAGAGCGTTGACAGAGAGGAGAAGGTAGAAATGACTCAGCCTGTAACTGAAAATATGGATGGAGGACAACAGAGCTGCTTCATGGAAGAAGAATCTCAGCTTAGCCTGTTAGCTTTAGTGTTAACCCCGATGCTATCACCATACAAATGTGTTAGCTCAGCGCTACACATTCTCGTCTCAACACTGAGGTCCTCCATCCTCATGACAGAGAGGGGAACACAAAAATGACTCAGCTGCAACTGAAAATATGGATGGAGGACCTCAGTTTAGCTTGTTTGTCGCACTAGCGCCGAGCTAATACATATAAGGCAATATAGCATGAGGGCTAACGTGAAGGCTAACAGGCTAAGCTGAGGTTCTTCTTCCATGAAGCTGCTCTGTTTTCCTCCATCCATATTTTCAGTTMCAGGCTGAGTCATTTCTACCTTCTCCTCTCTGTCAACGCTCTCTGGTTTCATTTAAAAGAGTCGATCATCAGATATTGTCCAAGATTAACCTTCAGGGTGGATATAGCTCGCTAGCAGCCTCGCACTGAGGACCTATCCACGTCATCATTTACCCAGAATGCTTTGTGTGGAAATAAAATGGCTCCTTCCGTGTTGAAATATATTTTAAAAAATTTACAAAACTGAACAGCCTACAGTATTTTTTACAGTCTTTATTTTACAGTTAAAATAAATATTTATCAAATAAAGTTTAATGTTACGACTAATCGTGGATACCTTTTAAAAATTAAAACAGCATCTAAGACAAACCTCTTTTTGTTTGACTCCTAAAACTGTTTTGTGATTCATTAAGTGTTCAGTACTTTTAACACACTGATGATGGAATACCAGAAATATACTTAAAGAGACAGAAAGATGAGCGTTCCTATTGGCAGCTATCTTTTTCTGAATTCATCTCTCCTCAGCCTCTGCGAGGTAAAAACACAGTGGATCTGATTGTGGAGGGCTCCATCTTGGAGCTTCAAGACGTTTCAGACCCCTTCGTTTACTGGCCGGTCCGAGTCCTCCAGAACATTGGAGGGAGGCTTCGGCTTCGTTACGTCGGCCTCAGTAAAGACCACCAGACTCAGGACGTTTGGCTGTTCTACCTGGACGTCAGGCTCCGTCCCCTCGGCTGGGCCCTCGAAAACAGTCTCGCCTTAGAACCACCAAGAGGTGAAAATCAAATCTGTTGAATTTTATTATTTTACACAGTCTGGCAAGAAGAAACATTTCTAAAAAGTAATTACAATGTTTTTAGTTTTTATGTGATGTTTTAGCTCAGTTGTAGGTTTTTCCCTTTGGGTTTTCTGCCATTGTTTTAAAAATGTTCATGTTAGGTTCAGTGATTTTTAAACTGAGCTGAGTGTCCATGTGTTGGTCCTGTGATCAGCTGAGTGTGGCTGATCCAGGCAACATCTTCAACTGGTAAAAGCTGAAGAATGAATGAAAACAAATCATTCCTACGACTCGAATTCCATAAATTATTTTCCAGTTTCGTAAAATTTATCTGTTTCCTTTTTTAAATAACCTTTCTGACACACAAATCTTGAGAAACACAAACTGTAAAAGTCACATTCTTCTGTCAAGGGTTGAGCAAAATTGTAGGAAAATATAAAATCAGAATTGCAAAAACCAGAAATTGTCTCCTAATAGTTCGAACAGATTCTTTAAATGGATACAATTTTAAAACTGGTACTAGTAACATTTTATTTAATAACAATTTAAAAAATGTTTAAATTTAAAGGAATATTCTTCTTTTTTTGCTGACTGAAGCAACTCAGAACTCACCTTTTGCTGTTTTTTTTTTATTCCGATCACTTATGAATCATTCAGTTGTTCTTTTTTATCTGTTTGTCATTTTACAATAAGAGCCTACAAACCARACCGTAGTGTGTGTGACCTTTTTTAAGCCACTGTGCTGTCTTTGCTCAGAYCTCAGGTGTCTGAAGAGCCCCGCTGACTGGCAGCGAGCTCTGGAGGACACTCGACTCGAAGGGCAGAAGAATCCTCTGCCGCTCGAGGTTTTCAAGGTGAGTCTTTAGGAGTCTTAAAAACACTTTCTTCTGATTTCACATTTTTCCCCACGTTCAGTTCACCTGCTGTGCTTCGGTTTTCCTGAAGGTTTTAAAATAAAACACAGAAATTCCAGTAAAATGTACCAGACAAGAAATGAGTCGGAATAAAGCTAACATGATTGCTTTACTGGCTTGCTTGTGTTTTATTATGATTATAATCAATTCTTCATAATAATCATCTAATGTTTAACATCAACACATCAAGGAACTGATTCAGGCTCTTTTCCTAGATTTTCTCAGTTTTATTTTGATTTCAGTTTGCACTCTAAGGGAGGGATTTCAGCTCTCGCATGAGCTCCTCATGTACAAACAGAAAACTAGATAATGTRGTTTCACGCTCTGCACATTTTAAGGGAGGTGAATGAAAAGCAGGTTAAATAAGAGCGTTATAAGGAAGTGGAAAAAACCCCGATGGTAATAAGGACAGAGGAGAACACAAAAACATTACAAGGACACTGAAGAAATCCTCAACAAAGTTCAAGGAAAACAGGAGTGTTTTAGGAAATATGTGTGTGCCCTTCAGGAACAACCACGCTCAGTTTGTTCAATTTTATCCACGAAATAAAACAAGAAAAAAAAAAGAATCCTGACAGAGGAGTCATCAGTTTAACACGTGGCCACCCAGCAGGTTTTGCATGACCTAAATGTGTGTGAATCATTAAAAGTGGAGCACATTTGTCTAATATTCTCGACTTTACTGTGTCAGGACCACGTAGACCTGCCCAAGCACTYCTTTAAGACGGGCATGAAGCTGGAGATGGTTTCTCCGTGGGATCATCTCAAGATCTGCCCCGTTTCTGTCAGCAAGGTGAGTGCCGGCGAAGACGGTGATCTGCAGTAAACATAAAGAAGCTTCCTCCTCCTCCTCCCTTCAAAGTGCTTCAGCTGCCGTTTACACTGTGGTAAAAAGATTTTTGCATGTTTATTCAAGCGAGGTGACCTTGTTCCTGACATGTTTGGATTCCACAGAATGGAATCCAGCTGAAAAGGTCTCATGGAAGTCCTTCGGTATTTTAGCTCAAATTTGTCCCTTCAGAGCTTCCACAAGACACGTAACCATGATTTTTTCACTTTTACTTTGACGTTTATCCTAAACAAGTCAACTGAAAACAAAAAAATCTGTTTAAAAAAATTAATAAAATCATGACTTGAGCTTATTTGTTGCTTTTTTTTAATCGTTTCATCCTTCCTGGCTTTGTTCGGTGACGAATTCTGTGTAAAAAATAAATTCCAGGGTGAAGCCAAACCCGTGTTTCAGATTAGCCTGAAGCTGTTCACCATCTTCRCTAACCAAGACCGATGCATCTCTGTCTCCTTAGCAACACATTTCAGAAGCAGATCAGCGTTTTTATGGCTGTGAAACTTGAACTGTTGCAACGTCAAGATGTTCAGCGGTGGCTCTGCGGCCATTTGAATTTTTAGATTTCTTGTCATCTGATACACTTAGAGTTTTTAGGAGGGGTTGTTATTGCAAACTAGAAACAAAAATCTCATTTTCTGGACAAGCAATCAATAAAATAAAACTAAAATGTTTTAGATGTATTTAGCTTGAGGAACTGGTTTAAATTCAATTYTTTGTGTCGTAATTCTTCGGTTTTAGATTACAAAAATAAAACAAACATTGATTTATGACAACGTAAAAACACAACATCCTGGCTGAATATAAATTTGTTTATTTAGTTGATTGTTAAATACTTAGTCGAGTGCTGATTATCCATTATCAATACCAGGCAAAGGAATTAGATCTACTCATAATTTATTAAAAATATGTATAATAAACTTTCTTATTTTGAAAATATATTATTTTAGATGAAAATATGTTTTACATGTAACAAATTGTAGTTTATTAATTTACTATTAAGTTATTGATATATTGATTAAAACACACAAAATAGCTTCAGTGTTTTATAATGCTGCTCCATGTGTTCAACTTATTGTCTCCAATCAAACTAAACTGTCTTTTAACAATTAAAAAAAAAAACTAAAGTATAAACAAAACTTTATTCTTTTTGTTTCCGTTTCAGGTCTACAACGACAGCTACTTCCAGGTGACGCTGGACGACCTCTCTGCTGATGCCAAGCCTCGGTCCGTGGTGTGTCACGTCAACTCGCCCTGCATCCTGCCGGTCCAGTGGTGTCTGAAGAACATGGTGGTTCTGGAGAAGCCTCGGGGCTACGAGGGTCAGGACTTCGACTGGGCCGATTACCTGAAGCAGAGCGGGACTGAAGCGGCTCCTGATGCCTGCTTTCCTGACGTAGGAAGCTCATAATGATACAATGATCACATCTCTGCTTGTTTCTCTTCTTACTTACTTACTTACGTCTAGTTTGTAACATGTTTTATGCCTCAAACTATAGACACATTATTTCCTGAATTTATCATCATGTAAGCCTTTAAAATTTATGTTGCAGCAGGAGGAAGGTGCAGTTTGGGTTGTAATCTGAGCTTGAGTCGGGTTGGATCTACCCCGGCTGTAAAACTAACCCTCTCTGTTACTTGTGTGTGTGTTTCTCTGCAGACATGGCAGAACAGAAGCTTTGCCAAAGACATGTGGTTGGAGGCGGTGAACCCTCAGCGACCGGCGGAGGTGTGTGTGGCTCAGATTACACAGGTTAGGGGACGCCTGCTGTGGCTCCGACTGGAAGGTACACACATCTGATTGCGTGTTTGTGTGTGTGAGAATGAAATATCAGCTGACTCCTAAATGGACTGACAGCTCCCTCCCCCTCCTTTGCCTCTRCTGTCTACCTGTCTCCAGGTGTGGCGAAGCCCCTGTCAGAGTGTATCGTGGACGTTGAATCCATGGACATCTTTCCTGTTGGCTGGTGTGAGGCCAACAGTTACCCTTTAACCTCTCCACTCAAACCTGTCTGTATGTACAAATAACACAAACATTCTCAGGAAATGTCTCCTGCATGACTGAATGAGAAACTCTGGAGAGATTAAAAATGTGCTTTTTATCTTGTGGACCATTTTTGTTTTGTCTGCAGGCCAGAAGCAGAAGAAGATAGCAGTCGTTCAACCAGAAAAACAGTAAGAAACACAAACTCAAAGCTGGGATATTTTTAGTTTTATGGAAAGTCTTCTGTTCTAATAAACAAGAATTTCTAATTAAATTCTAGTTGTGTTTCCATCAACATTTTTATGCATATTTTTGAAGTATTGCAGTTGACATTGTTGATGGAAACAGCAAAATTTGAAAAAAAGGAGATTTTACACTTGCTTGAGGTGGTTTGTGGATTTTATGAAAAAAAAAAAAAGCTATTGTGCAAAAGTGGAGATGGAAACACATTTATCTAAGTTCTGATGTAGTGAACATGATTGATCAGCTGTTTCCACTTCCTGGATTTAAGAAAGAATTTAAAAAACAACTGTGGTCCAAATTATTGTAATAATTAGTGTGAATCATGTCCCACATTCAATTTGTTTATTACAATAATTTTATTGTAGATCAACTTGAAAYATATAAAAACTATAATAGGCTTATTTGAAAATACAACTAAGGAAACAAAGTTTCAGAATTCATCACAAAGTACTGTGTCTTATTTCTATTATAATAAACTCCTACAAAGAATCAAAAGTGAGTTTTTATGAGAAGTTTACACCAGATTTTTCATTAAAAAACATGCTGAATGTGTTTTTTTTACTGAAATATGTAAAAAAAAAAATGCCTATTTTTTCCCTCAACTTCATGATTTTGATGTGAATATAGACTTCTTTCCACATCTTCAAACAAAGTTGCACAGCTTCATAAGAAAAAGGAACTGGTTAATGGGTTGTTTAACTGGCCAGCAGTATTCAGCAATTTCTAAAATTTTTGAATATTATTTGTGTGATGTTCCTGCTTTTGTTATCCAAGAGCTTGATTAAATTATTCGTTATTATAGGGGTCACAGAATAAACAAAAATTCCCAATGTTTTGTCACTGCTTTTGTTTAAAAAATATTTTACATTGTTATTTTTTTACATAAAAATGTTTAGTGCAGTCAAAACCTTAAGTTTGATGGGAATGATTGTAATTAAAAAACATAATAGCATGTTGGTCAGCTAAGGTGTGCGTGATCTTTTAGCTAAAAGACACTCTTGCTGACTCATTTGTTTAATAAACTCTAGTTTACCAGCCGTAAAAGGAAGTAAATCCAGATGATCATTTAAAATAATTACCAATAATTACCAGCTGCAAGATTATAAAAGTGAAACCAAACGGTTGCTCAGGCATCAAGACGGTATGTCAGTAAAAGTCTGACTGAACTTTTTAGGAGAAAATATTTTCAAAGTGCAGTCTGGATGGTCTCTTGTCATTAAACACTAATAAAAACTGCTTCCTTGTTTTTGAAGTAAGCGTTAAATAGAAATCGACAGATTAAATGTGGCTGCGCATGGATTGTGTAAATTGACTCAAGCACAGCTGGAATCTTTCATTTCTGTCCTGGAATGTAGTTTTATTCCTCTATTCTTTTGTTTTCTGGCCTTTTTACCKGTGAGCCAAAAAACAAAATCCCCCTCGGGGGCTTTTCTCCTCTCCCTCCCTTCCCGCTCTGTCACTCAGGGCTCTTAATTGAAACAGTGGCTTTTCAGAGCAGAAATTGCCTTCCCGAGGCGCTGATTGATTTTCTTGACAAACTACACGTTGTGCTGGCGAGCGCTGCACCGGGAGCACGACAAGGGTGGGGGCTCGGTTAGGGAGCAGGAGAAATATGAGGTCTTCAGCGCCCCTTTGTCAGCTTTTTCATCTAACCACTAATTTCTTTCTAACCCACCTGCTTCTAAATCTGACTTAAACTGCGGTCGCTGCTGAGCGGACCGATCGACCGCCTGAGCCGACGTTTAGTTTCTCTATTGTTTCCCGTTTGATTAGATCAGTGAGATCATTTTATTGATTATTCTAACCGGACTGATGGCGTTTTTCCTGCAGGTCGACTCCRTCCCAGCCGACTGAGACGACTCCTGTGAACCACTGCCAGCCGGTCGCCATGGATCCAGGTAATCAAAAGCCCAGTAATTAATGTTAATGAGCTGCTGTAGAAGGAAAACCCCACTCTTCAAATACTCCTTCCCTCACAGAGATCATGAGTTTCTGATAATCAGTAGTTAGTCTGTGTTTTCAGTTCCTCATCTGTACATAAACCCTAATCTAATTTAGACCTTTAATATGATCTGGGATTATCCTTACCAAAAATAACATTTGTTTGTTGTATGTTTAGTCTTTCTTTGGTCTCTGTTTTCTGAACTCGTACTTTTATAAGTACTTTGTGCTGACAGGTTTTCGGCAAAGTTTTGTGCAGAACTTGATAAACTGGAAAGCCATGGTAGTTTATTACTTACTGTAGCTTAATGAAAACATGTACAGGAGGAAGGAATTTCTAGTTTGTAGTAACAAATATTATTTTCAGTTCAGTTAATTAGTACAAATATTACAAATTACTYAAAAAGCATAGATTAGGTTTAGAGCTCATTAATTATTCATTAATACTTAAACTATTCGAAGTCTTGTCCTTGAAGTGGTGACTGTAGAGATAAATAAGCTGACAGCTCTTGTAAAAGATAGTTTCAGTGGTGCAGTGGGTAGGTGTTCACCCTGCAACCAGGTTGTCGCTGGTTCAAATCCCTGCCCAAGCTCATACTGTTATGTTCCTGAGCACCTAACCCAGCATCCCCGTGTATTAATCTGTGGTGGTCTGGAGGGTCCGTAGGTGCAGAATGGCAGCCATACGTCCACCACAGAGTGTGACTGAGGAGTGAATGTATGATGCAGGAAACTAAAGCATCTTTGAGCGTTTAGAAAAGCTCTGTGTAAAACTAATGCATTTGTTTTAACTTTATATATTTGGAGTTAATCTGTTCAATACAGCAGAAAATTTTCCCAATTATTTTGGAAGAAACTCAAGTGAAATGCACTGTTAAAAACTTACTTCCAGTATTTTAGTGTTTTTGTAAACACATACTCCAGTACTTTAAGTATTAATTTGATAGAACTATTTTTACTTTTATTGGAGCAATTTTTGACCAGTAGGATCAGTGCTTTGACTCAAGTAAGGAAACTGAGTACTTTGTCCACCACAGGTACCATCACAGCTGTAAGTTTCTCATTTGTATTAATAAGAACTGGTTTGATTTGCAAAACTTAGTAAGAGTGACAAATATCCAATTGACTGTACTGGAAAAAGTGGACCGATAATGATAAGTCATCTTTTTGGTGATTTTTGGGGTAATTCACAGGGTTTCTTCTGATAAAATGATTATATATACAGCAACTGAGCAATAATTTATAAAAATCTAAAATACTTCGCAGCTTCTGCAAAATGCATTTAATAAGTTCAAGGCAGTTTTTTACATTTTCATTGGTTTTAACTTTTTATTTTTCTCTTAGATCAAACTGGCACCAGTTCTGCTTGTTTTTTACCCTGCAGGAAGTCAAGAAGTGACCGTGGGAGAAATTAAATTTAATTAGTTACAGCCAATAATAAGCTTTACAAGATACATCTTAGCAGTTTATTAGAAATTATTTCATTCTTTGCAGTTTTCCTTTCATTTGAACTTCCAGATGCGCCTAAAAGTGKTTAAAATAACTGAGCTGAACTCTTGTTCCCTAACGCTGACTCTGCTGAGTTATATTTCTACTTGAGATAAAACGTAAGGAACACGTGACTTATTTTTAAACATTAGAGAAATGGAGACTAAAGTTGTATTTCAGCATCTAACCTAACCTTGACTGGTGAGCAGAGAAAGATTAGACTCAACCAAAGTCCCACTTCCTCCTCCGGCTCACTGTGAGCGCGGTGTTTAGTTTCAGTCTGCAGACGACATGCGTGTTCCACACAGAGAGCCGAGCCGGGCTCTGTGTTGTTTCCAGGAGACCCTTGTCCTCTTTTTTCCACACTCCTCATCACCCACTCCTTCATGAATATTCATCTCGTCTTCTAATTACTATTCACCCCTGGCAGTGAAGTTCCAGGTGCCAGTGGCAGTCGGGGGGGCTGCGGGAAGAGGGCGGMGGGCAGCGGCGCTCAGTCGACCCTCCTGCGAGACGGGAGGAGAGGTGGGGACGAGACCCCCTTATGTTCCAGATTGATTTATCGATCAAACAACGATCCATGCTTTGATCCTGGGTTTGACACGGATGGACTGAAARCCCGAAGCCTCGCATGGACACTAAATAATTTGCTGAAACTAGAGCAGTCTTCTCCTGCTGGTTCGTTCTGAACTCCTCTTACTGATTTCGAGTGGGCTGRAAAAGAGTGGCAGTTTAGCTTAATTGGTGGGTTATTTCCACAAACTGCTAACAGGAAAGCTGATTAAACCACAGCTGAGTCGTTTCTGATCAAACTTTACACTCAAGAAGTGGAGTTGCATTAATCAAGCAGCAGTTATGCAGAAAATACACAATCAACTCTGTTGGAGGATGTATTTTTATTTTATTAGAGAAAAAGAAATAAATAATACAAGCGACGGCTGTTTTTGTTGTTTTATTGTTTTTGTGTTTTTCAAATGTTTGGAAAAATTGAAATATTTGAGTGTTGTGAGAGAAAACCAAATGGWCTGCTTTTGTAATGTTTTTTACACACTAGTGCATCTTAATAATCTTACAGTTAAACATGAACTTGTAGTTCTTAGAAAGTTGTAGCACCTGTTTGGTTGACAGGAAACCACCGTCACCCCTCGTCTCCCAACACGAGCTGTGAGTTCAGATAAAACTCATCAACATGTGTGCTCACATGTGCGATGGGTAAAATGCAGAGACTTAATTTCCCCACCAGGGGATCAATATAGTGTATTAAAAAAAGACTCCTCAAGTTTATTAAGCATGTTTGTTTATAATTCTTTTGAGAAATGCAAATTTTCTWTGACCTTCCTCCAAATTGGATTGAAAAAAACTTTTTTATTAAGGCCAGGTAATATACTGAACAAARTAAATGAGTAAACTACAAGATAATAAAAGGAGAAAGAGGCTCATATTCATAAATCACCACAGGATATTTCCTAAAACAAAAGAGTAACATTATACAATCTAAAAAAATTCGATGCTGTGTCTCATGTTAGTTTATTTTTCAACTTTTCTAGTTTGAGTTGAGCCTAAATTTTTGGATCAGGAAGGTCGTTAAAGAAATCCGTGACGCATCAAAAAAAAACTGAGCAAAAAGTCTTTAAAATAGTAACATGTACTACAAAAGATTCAAGAAAGAGAGTCCAAAACCAGTTTTCTTAAGTAAACAACATTTTCATCTGTTTTATGCCAAATCTAATTCTGCAGAAACATTCCTCTAAGGTTTTTAGTTATCTTAAATATTTTTTAAAGTTGATGTGAACAGGTTTTTCTGTATGAGGGATTAACATGAGGAATTCTCTTCCTGCAGGTTTGAAATTTTTGACTTGAACCAACCACTTYAGATTAAGACAGATGTAGTTTCTTGAAGTCGACCAGTTTTAAAGTCCTGAACAACTGACACACTTTTGATGTTTTGATTTTTTTTTTCTATGCATCGTCTTAATAAGTGTAACATTTTCAGTGTTTCCCCTAGGGAGTTGGTCTTCTGGAGGGGCGTGGGTGTTACGGCAAAGACTTACTCACATAACTCTGCGTGTCTCAGCACTGATGACGCAGAACGTGAACCACATTTTAGTTTGTTTTTTTTTTCCCAAGTTTGGCATTTCAGAAGAGAGGGGAATGTGGAGGAGCCGCTGCAGAAATAGCTCTTAGATGTGATCTGGTGTTATTTAAATTAAAAAGACAAAAAATCCCCCCCCCCCCCGGGTTAATGATAGGGGAAACACTGGTTTTATTCTGTTTTCATCAGTATTTTGAACTTTTTTCGTAGCTGAAGGTCCATCTGATGACAAGCATCGTAAATGAGCCTAAGTTATAAATGTTCTCTTTTGTCTAAATAAACTGTGATTTATTGAATTGGATGAAATCTTTAGTTTTGTCTGAATCTAAAACACAAACCAGATAGATTTAGTCTTTTAAAATGAGTGTTTTTCTTGTTCTTTCTAAAACAATAATAATATACAGTATGTTAGTAGAAGCAGCGCACATGTATTAACCCCAAACTGAAGTTGTTGCCTTATTTTTCTTATCATTTTGTAACATTTTTGTACCCTTAAAAACCTGTGATTGACCCTGTTTAATTGTTTATTTAACCCAGGCCTGGCTAACGGAAGATACTGCTGCTCCAAGATTTTTGTCAACCACCGCTGCTTCTCAGGGCCCTACCTCAACAAAGGACGGATCGCAGAGCTGCCGCAGGCTGTTGGACCCGGCAAATGCACGCTGGTCCTCAAAGAGGTGGGCTGAGCGAGGGTGGGAGGGGGGGCGACACAGCAGAGCGGGTTTAATCAAAGAGTTACACACTTTCCACAGAGATGGGAAGAGGGAGGAGGTGAGCGATGGAGGGCGAGACAGAGATGTCTTGTTAACCACCTGCCGTTTCTCAGCAGTGCCTTCGTTTTAATGTGAGCAGCTGTCAGTCAAACGTGTTTACACATACACACCTTCAGTGCTGCTCAGCAAAACAGATGCTTAATTTCTCCAGAGACTGTTTCTCTGTATGTGCACGCACACACACAAACGCACACTTTGTGTTGCAGTTTGTCCACACTTTCAGGTTTGGTTTGGCTCCTCCTCCACCCTGGATTCTTCTAACTTAAAACGTGAGTCTTTATTAATATTTGTTTTGGTTTTTTTTGTTCTGCGTCTGCCTGCAGCTGTTGAGCATGCTGATCAATGCTGCCTACAAGCCCGGGCGAGTCCTGAAGGAGCTGCAGGAGCTGGAGGATCAGAGCTGGGACTGCCAGGAGGAGACCCTCAAAGCCAAGTTAGGGAACACACATTTTTCTCCTCCCGTCGCACGCTCCGCTCCCGTTCACGTTTTAATGTTCAAATCACAAGCTGCCACTCCAGGATTTCACGCTTAAATCGTAATAAATCATCCGGCAGCACATCTTTCCCAGCAGCAGGCCTCACGAGTCCCTCCTCGCCGCAGTTTTCCACCCTTTTTTTTTTTTAGAAGTCGCTGCAGCAGTTTGTGTAAAGTCTGCATTTTCATTCACTGCTGGCTGCGCACAGTTAAATTATTCCACAGCTCCGAGCTGCACGCTGGATGTTTTCTCATCAGAAACTGGCCTCTTTTTTTTTTTTTTTTTTTCCTGTGTAAAAGGAGAAAAAGAAGCAGACAGTCAGAAGTGAGTCACCTGCAGTGGCCCGCGGAGCACACTGATCACATTCATGCAGGGGTGTTTTCACAACGACCCGAACGAGTTACTTTTAATTTTCTGGGGCATCTGCTGCCCAGAGAGCCAATTTACTTCTGACTGTGACGCGTTAAAGGATGAAAAACACTCAGTTCAATTCATCAACCTTGCAATGGTCAATAAAACATATATTTATAGTTCTGCAGGTTTCTGAACATGTCAGTGTAAAGCTTGTACTGATTAGTCATATTATCATTGGAAACAACAGATTTAATATAACTAAAAGGTTGTTGGAGCATGTTTCAGTGTTTAAAGGTGGGGAAAACAACAATTATACAGAATAACTTCAGCATGTTTGCAGCTATTTCTGTGCTCACTGTTGAGTCGGTTCACAAGCAGGAACTTGAGGGTTTGTGTTTTTTTAAACACTTCCTTTATGCAAACCTTTTAAAAACAAATCACTGGTTTGACTTACAGTAACTTGTTTTTACTGCTGAAGACGTTCAAGTTAGGTCTTCTATAAAGAACTTCAGTTTTGGTGGTTGTTTTGTTGCGTAATATTCCTTCACTATTTAGTTCTTTATGTTTTCACATTTGCAGCCCTACTTGTGCAGTAGTGGAAACACCAAGGCCAAGATTTTCTGCTGACTACTTGATCGTTTTCTACAATATCTTAATTTTCTCAAAGATTATTTGAGATTCAAGCATCGACACTGAGGTTATACTGATAAGTGAACATTTCWTCAGACACTGATGAGGCTTTTCTTCTTTAACAGCCAGAAGGGTTCACTTTACTGGGACAGAAAAATGACAGGGAAAATCGTGGTGCCTTTTCTTTAAAAGTGTCAAAAAAGAAATCCTTTAAAAACACAGAGCCTGTTGTGTAGAAGTATTCAAGTTGAGTGGCATGACATCTTTCTTCCAGTGTAAAATAGTTCCACTAAGTAAAGTAAAACACAAKTTGTTCCAACTATGAAAAAACTTACTGAGGAAACACAAATAATGAATCAAAAAATTGGCAAAAGTTTTTATGATTCAAGACTGAACGTTAGTGTTAATTTACACATGTAAAAAAATGTGTGAAAATGTGTTTCAGATCATAAAAACTGATCAGTTCACCTGGTTTAATGGTTAAGTTTGAACAGCACGTTACTCTAAACCACCTCAACTATTCACAGAAATTAAAAGATGGCTTCTTGTTGCTTTTACTTAACTTAAGAATCAGCAAAAAACCTAAAATATTTCATTTACTGACCTATATATAAATGAAAGGAAGTACATTTAAACTACACAAAAACAGCAATTATGTGTTTTCCTGTCCATGTTTGTCTCCTCTCTATCAGGAAGTTCTAAARGTTATAAAAATTCACACAAATGTAAGCCATAAAATAACCCAAAAGCTTTAGTTGCAGCTTTTATTTTTGTATTTTTGCATATATTTTGTCTTTTTAGACATCCTAAAATAAATTTTAAAAAAGTTTACCCGGAAATTTTTTATTATTAACTAGCTCGTCTTTCAGTCTGTGTGTATTATTGAAATTAAAATAGTCTCACCATTTCAGTTTTTTCAAAATAAAAGTGTAACTTTTCCTCGTCTACAGATACAAAGGGAAAACCTATCGCTCCACCATCAGGATCGTACGTCTCGCAGATCAGATCCCAGATTTCTGCAGGAAGGTGTGCGTGAAGCTGCAGTGCTGCCCGAACCTCTTCAGCCCCGCCCTCGTTGCGGACAAGTGCCCGGAGAACTGCTCCGTCCAGACGAAAACCAAATACAGTGAGTGAGCGTAATTATCCTGCGCCACAGCTATGAAGAAGGCCCAGAGCTGCAGCGCGCTGTGTAATTACCTCTGAGTGGCTGAGTTTACGTGCATTGTTTTTAACACCGGCTGGGCGTCCGCAGCTTATTACTACGGGAAGAAAAGGAAGCTGTCCAAACCGACGGGCGGGGAGGAGGYGGGGGAGGGCGACCTGGCCAAGCCGACGCGCCGCAGGAAGAAGAGGAAGGCCATCTTTGTGCAGAAGAAAAGACGCTCGTCAGCTGTGGACTACGCTCCTGCAAGCTCCCCACAGGTGAGCTAACGCACCACTGATGACAGGTGTGTAGCGGAGTGTGAGCAATCTCAACCCACAAATAATAAAGATGGAAAATCTTTAAACATTTTCAGTTCAGTCTTGACAGCTTGAGTTTCATGCTGAAAACGTAGATAAAAGCTGCAGACCAGATGGATTTATCTAAAAATAGCACCTCCACCACTTTCTGCTCGGCTGCAGTGAGTTTACTGCTCACACACATTTTGCTCCGTGCAAATTTTACTATAGGAAAGATTTATTTTTCTACCACAAATCTCTGGTCAGATTTCTTTTCTTATTTTTAGACTGAGGCAACCAAAATCAGTTCAATCAGTTATTTATTTATACAAATGAAATATATTTTTGATATATTTTATTATGTATAACC